CGAGGGCGGTGGGATGTTAGCATGCCGCAGGAGCGGGGCTTTCTCCAAAGTGAAGGGAAAGCCAGGGTGTCGCTCATGCAAGCCCCTGGGCTGCAGCAACTCCACTGAAGCCAGGGGAAGTGGTGAGCGTTGGTGACACCGCTGTCTCCTCGCAGTTTTTCTCCATCTCTTCTGATCCTAGGCTATTTCGGGATCTTCCTGGGAGAAAGGGGCTGAAGTTCTTTCCAGAAGTGGGAAAAATCATTAAATTAATGCTGCTGCCGCTCTTACCCATCCCCTGACACAGCTGCATAATCTTGTCTCTAACAGTGCATGCTCTAGTTAATAAAAAGCACTGAAATACAGGTCCAGCTCCTGCTATTTCCAGGAACATTTGGTCCCGTAAAACCATAGGAAACCATAATTTCAGCAAATTAAAGCAGTTACTGCCTATCTCTCTGGCTCAATGCATGGAAAGGGAAGAGCACCCCGCTGGCTCCGTGCACGGGGAGTAACACCAGTCAAATTCCACCAGCATCCATGCTGGGAAAGGGAGGCGACAGGCAGTCCCAGAAAGGCACGTCTCCTTCAAGCAGACATTAAAGGAATGCTGATGAGTTCAGTGCTCACCGTACATTTTCCCTATAGCTCATCAGTCACTTTTTGTTTAATCTAATTAAACACAGTATATCCTCTGACCTTCTGGGTTGGCACTGAATTCTCCTATGTTGTTCTTTCCATATGAAGCTCTATTGACAGATGGGGAAAGCCTAGAGTTTGCTTTAAGCTTCAGATAAGTAAAGTTAAACATGCAGCAGATAAAATTGTTTTCCCAGCACTCCTCTCCCACTGACCAATTGTGGGGGCTCGCTGGGAGGGCTTAGCTCCTCTGGCCCGTATCCCACCCCCAGCTCGGGGCACCGCGCTCCGCAGCGAGTGAAAGCAAGCTAGCGAGCAGCTGTAAGAGGGCAGAGTGCTGCAGAAACCCTTGAAAGTTCATTTTTAGAGTTGGTTCTGACAGTTGCTCAGCTTCATTTCCATGTGGCAGATGACTAGGGAGAACGGTGCCGCTCCTCACTAAATATATTTCCAGAGTCACTAAATAATTTGCTGCCTAACAGCTAATCAGTCGGCATTTGCTGATGCTGAAACAGGTTTTAAAAAAAAGTGTCAAATTGCATCAGACACCTCGTGCATATCCCCTGCTGTTACAGGCTACGTGCCGGTGCTGTGTGTGCAAGAGCGCAGTGGGTCAGCACGGCTTCGTGAGTTTTCTGGGAGGGAAAGCAACTGCGGAGCTGGATTCGGGGGAGAGCAGGGTGCCAGGGTGCCACAAGCAGACGCAGGCTTTGATCATGCAAAAGAGCTGGAAGCGTGCTCAGCTTTCGGCGTGACAACCTGCGTGCTCACTTCCTTGCAGGCGAACGAGCAGAGTGCGTATCTCCACCAGCATCACTTGGTAACGCCACCTGCAGAGCTGTTTTTTCCAGTATGATGGAAAATCCTTTAGTCTGAGTCAGGGCAGTTATTGCAGGTAACTCCTCCATGTACGTACAGCTGCACCTGCGCTCCTGGACCTATGCACAAATTACTTCTTGAAATATAAACCGAAAGTTACAGAAGAGCCTGGAGGCAATGCCCTTACAATTCCCGACAGGCTGGGTTAAAGATTTCTTTACTGTAAATAGCTTTAATACTCCCTTTGTACATTAATAATGCAGGGCAGGGCAGGAGGCAGCAGCCCACCGAGCGCAGAGGGGCTGTTCCCTGCACGTGGCCACCGAGTCAAACTGGAGTGGTGTGAACCTCATGGCTCTGATTTTCCATGGCCAGCTGCAGGAGCCCGACACGGGGGTTGGCACAACCAGGATCCCAAGCCATCAGCTTTGAGATGTTCACCTCCGTCTGAACCCATGCTGGCGTTCGAACAAATGCAGACCCTCTTGCTGGAGGCCCTCAGCCATCCTCAGTGGCTGGGAAGGACCCTGCTGCTGGTTCACAGTCACATAACATCTCTCTTGAAGCTGTAGGGGAAGTACAAAGGGTGAACTTTTAGAGCAACTCCTTACCTAGGGAGAATTTATCTTCAGACAGAGGGTGGCAGGATCACTGGGGGCATTGGCTAGTCTTGTTCCTCCATGGTCCAGCCTCCGTCTCTCCTCTGCAGCGGGTCAGCAGCCCTGGAGAGCACAGACGAAGTCGTGCAGCTGCTGGTTTACTAGAGGAGCTACCCCTTGCAAAGCTCACCACCTTTCAAGCACTCCCACAACAGAGCGACCGGACATTTTGTATAGATACATACACCCCCCAAAAAATTGGTCCCAGCAGGCTGCTCTGCAAAACAAGCTGTGTATGCTGGGCAGTAACGTGTGATGGGCTGAGGGCACGGGAGAGCTTCTTTTTGATGAAGCAAACTTTCCCTCATAACACTGGGAGGTGGCTCAGGCATAAAACAAAATCCAGTGGCTCCTGAAGGAATTGCAGAGGGCACGGTCCCTCCTCCATCCTGCAAGTGCCCACGCGGTTGCCCCCACGAAGCCGGGGGGAATGGGCCGCATGAAGCAGAATTGCCGATGACCCCACGTTGGCAACAACTTGCCTCGCAGCCTATTTCCAGCAGGTCAGGAGTGACTTGAGATGGACGAAGCAGCCTCTAGCCTCTCCATAAAACATGTCCTTAAACATGTCCTTAAAACTTGGGTTGGAAATGCCTGGCCAAAGGTGTGTCTGAAACCGGGTGGTGTCTGAATGAAAACGTTTTCCCTCTGGTGTAAAGGGCTGGGGATGTGCTACCTGTTCCTCGTGCGGGTGCGCTCAGTGACCGGCTTTCTGTCTTGTGCAGCTCAGCAGAAAGGTCGTTGTGGTGTTTTCTTTCTCGGGGTTACTTGGGCCGATACCCTGTGCTGGGAGCAGTGCCCGAGCAGAGCACATGGCTCCTGGGAAAGCCCCAGTGGGGGGGAGCCAGGGTGGCTTGCCCTGCTTTGGGTGCCACTTGCCTTCATTCTGCCTGCGCTTTGAAGTACCTCAAGGTTTTAGCTATAAAGCTCTAAGCACCGAAAAAACAAAATCTTGGCTTGGGAGGGCGCGTTGCCTTGGTGTGTTTCCTGGGACTGAGTGACTTAGGATGCTGTGCGGTGGGGGGAGGACTCCTTCTCCTTGTTTTAGAGGAGGTGGGTCATGCTCATCTGGAGTCCAAACTCCCTCGGAGACTTCTTTTTCCCCCTTTTTTATATGACATCAGCCAGGACTTGATGTTACTATTTTAAAAACAAAAGGAGGGGACACCCCCCCCCTTCCCTCCTGCTCTCTGCCAAAAGGAGAACAAAGAACAGCTAAAGCACACAAGTTCTGGCACTCCGTTTGGAAATAAAACCATTCATCCTCATGTCAGGTAGGGAACTGCCCGACCCCCCTGCCAAAGCAAGCAAGCTGAGCGGCTGAGCAAACCCGCCACGCAGAGGAGCCTGGGCAAAGGGGATGCCCGGTGTCACCCTGCGCTCGGGCAGCTGCTTGCCAAACTCCTGCGCTGCTGTCCCAGTGCCAGGGTGTGCTGGGACACTCCTGGCCACGGGCAGTCATCCAGGGAAAGGCAACCCTGCTCCTCCCGGGTTGGGAGGTGGGGGAAGGACCTTTCTTCTTGCCCTCTCCCACCCCCAGTCCCCACCGTGCAGGCAGCCCCTGCATCTCCGTGCCATGCATCCCCACTCTCCGGCGGGGCTGGTGCATGGCACGGCGTAACCCGATGTAATTTCCACGCTTTAGACACTAACATCTTTGTCTGGCTTCTTCCTCACTGTTTAAACATGTCAGCAGTTCCCAGCACGGATTCCTGCACCGTGAGTTCACCCCCAACAAGCATCCAAACGGCAAGTTGGGGCTGCTGGCTCTTCACTGCCTGTCTGCGAAGCGTTACTGGAACAAGGGCCGGTTCTCCAAACACGAGGAAGAGATTACTTGGGCTTTCTGGAAGGCTCCCTCCCATGCCTTCAGAGCGGAGCAAATGAGGATAATTTATCTGTGGGCTTCCGGCTGAACCCAGTAGCTTGGAGCAGCCAGGACTATGCCGTCTGTTTGTCCCAGCTCCTGCAAGAAGGCATTTTTCCATTGTCGTCGTTGTATATTGTTCGCCTGATTTGTTTGCACTGTCGCCTTCTGGGGCTGAGATAAGAGGTCGTCCCCCTGCCTTTTACTGGCGGCATGTTCCCCAGAACAATCCAGGGAAAAACTCGTGCAGGAAAGAGCCTTCGAAGGAGGCTTTCATATGTCTGATGCAGCCCTCGTTACGGTCATGTAAATAATTTTGTGCAATCTATCTGGCGAGAAACACAACATGTCAGGAGGGAATTGTTCTCTAAAATGTAGTTACGGATGGGCCAAAGCAGGCGGATCAGCCACACGTGGGTTGCCAGCTTAATGGACAAAGCAGCTGCCTTTCAGCGGGGAACAAAAGCCAGGCGGTGAGCCTATGCGCGCTTGTGTGAGCGGCTCTTGTTCCCCGCAGGAGCTGGAGTTGAGTTTTGTGGCTGGGTAGAAATCCCGGGCTCCCTTCCCCGCTCCATCTGCTGTGATCTAATGTGGTACCCAAGGATGAGTTAATGTCCCTGCTGCTTCTGCAGAGGGATGCGGGGAGCAGAGACAAGGTAATGCGGATGGCTGGGCCCTCAGCAGCAGAAGCAGCCAACTGGAACAACACTGTAACGCCATCCCTTCAGTGAAGTTACTCGTGATTTTCGAACGTAGAGTCGAGGCCCAGCGGCTCTGGCTTGGCACAGGACAATGGGAAAAGAGCAGTTTCTCTGTTTGCTTCCATCCTGCGCTGGCTCCGGTGCCTCCTCCCCTGTCCAAAACAGCTGCGTGCTGCCCGAAGTGACTTTACAGACAGTAAAAGCTTGAAACGTTGCATTCACCTTCATGATTTTTTTTTCCCTTAGAGCAAATCATGGCGGAAGATCAAGAATATGGTGCACTGGTCCCCATTTGTGATGTCTTTCAAGAAGAAGTACCCTTGGATCCAGCTAGCGGGACACGCAGGTATGGAGCATGGGGAGGGGCAGAGCGGTGGAAAGGCTCTTTGTTGTCTCAGGTTAATGGGCTTTGCTGGCCAGAATTGCTTCTGACTGCTGCATGAATGTCACAGATTTCAGCTCCCACATCTCTAGCCCAGGAGAGTGACTTACCTAAATGCTAGGGAGGGTGAGGTGAAGGTGCAGTGCTCGGTGCTTTCAGTCTCCCAGGGCCACCGGGTATTACTGCTGCTTTTTTCTTAAGCAGCAGAAAGCTGAGTCCTTTGGGTGAGACCCAAGCCCTCCTGGTGATCCACAGCAAAGCACGTGATGCTGCCCAGCACAAAGATGCCCCATGCGTGAGCCTAGAGACAAAGGTGCGAACCTACCATGAGTACACAGAGGCTGTGAAGCAAATGTGTTGGGTGCTGCAGGGCAGGTCTCTGCCCTGGTTAAGGTGTGTTATTCCTGGTCATAAACCTCTGATGCTACATGTGAATCTGGCAGTCTGAGCTTGTAAGTCCCAGCCTGCGGGGACTCTTTCGGGTACAGGTGTAAACGGAGATGCTTCCAAGGTGTCGGGCTGCCCTTCTTGTTTTGGGAGGGCACAGCAGCATCGCCCATCCAAAGCAAGTGCCACATTGTCCCTTGTCACCCTCAGGTAGTTTCAAGGCAGCAGCCAACGGCAGGATACTGAAAAAGCACTGTGAATCGGAGCAGCGCTGCCTTGATCGCCTGATGAATGATGTCCTGAAGCCCTATGTTCCTGCCTACCACGGCGATGTTGTGAAGGATGGGGAGCGATACAACCAGATGGAAGATCTGCTGGCTGAATTTGACTCCCCCTGCGTTATGGACTGCAAAATGGGGGTCAGGTGAGTGGCTTTGGGGATGTTGTTTGAGTTTTAAGATGGGATACTCAAAGCAAATGCATCTCTTGGGTAAAACCCTCTGAAACACGCAAGTGAGAACACCAGGCTCACCTGTCTTCAGGAAAAGCTAAGCCAACAACATGTGGAGAGAGCCATGGGGAAGCCTGGGTGTGGGAAGGACACCCCAGGCTCTTTCCTTCTCTGCTTGTTGACTGTCCCGTGTGCTGGGAAAGCGGCTTGGGGTAGCAGAGGGGACAGCACTCTGTTTGGGTTTGGGTACACCGGAATGGCACAGTAGCTTTTAGGAGGATGGTAACCTGCCTCTCTCTGCCGCAGGAGCACACAGCCAAGGGGCAGGGAGCAAAAGGTGTGGGAGATCCTGCCCAGGGTGCCAGAGGGGTGAAATAAAGACACTTGAATGGCACAGCTTCGGTGAGCGAGAAACTTTCCCTCTGCTCACCCTTTGCTCCCACGCACACTTGAGGGATGAAATGTGTGTGCTAAGTAGTTTAGTGCCTGTCATGCAAAGTTCTTGAAACGTTTCCTAACAGATGAGCAACATTACCCGTGTCCTCCTTGAGAACCATCTACAGATACGCCAAGATCCCAGGCTGCAGCCACTTGGCCAGCAGCAGTTTTTGAGCTATCGACACCACAGCTGACGAGGGTGTCCCAGAGCAAATGTGAGTGGGACCGGTGACCCCAGGCGGCTGCCAGTTTTGGAGCAGTCTCAGGCCACCGCTCGGCCCTGGGTCTGCTGCAGGCTGGCAGCAGGGCGGGTTGAGACCCCCCTCGCTGGCTAAGGCGCAGCCCAGACGCGGTGGAGACGCTTGCGCTGCTGGAAAAGCTGATGGGTTCTGTGGGAGGGAGGAATCTTTTTTTTCCCCTCCTGAACTCCCAATGTGAAACTCGAACTGGCGTGTCGGGCTGTCTGCAGGGAAGAGGCGAGGAATACTTTCCGCCGGAGGGGTGGAGAGAAGGGCAGGGGGCCCCAGCGCAGCCACGTGGCCCCGGCTGGCACACAACACACTGCCGCGGGAAGAAGATGGGACCCACTCTGGACCCAGATGTGACAGCCACCAGAAGAAGACCTGCTGGTCATGCTGCCCGGCTGCTTCTGTGGCTGTCTCTGGGAGGAGGAGAGCCTCCCGCGCACAAATCACAGGTTGGGTGATTTGTGCACCTGGGTTTTTGGAGCTAAGACAAGCAGAGCAGGCAAGGGGGCACATGTTCCAGGCATCATCATCATTAAATAAGATGGTGCTTGGGAGGAGCTGGTGAGGGAGAGTGAATTGGGCTAATGCTGGGGAGTAGGGCATCCCCGCCGCCGGGCAGGAGAGGGTCTGGCAGATAAACTAAACCTCAGGGCTATTAAACCTGTCCTCTGAGCCAGCAACTTGCTGCCAGGCAGATACAGGTTTGTTTTTTTCGTGCCAACCTGGCTTTGGGATGTGGCAGCCTCCTCCAGTCTCCCCTAAACAAAACTTTGTCTTTCATAAGCCCTGGTGATGGTTCAAGCCTGGAGCGATGCAGCGGGACCAAACCACAGACATAGACAATCTGTCATTCTCATCAAAAGCAAATCTAGCTTTCTGAGCAGCGTCAGCAGCACTTGTGAGCATGCTGCTGTTTTATTCCATCTGCCCAAAAATCATGGGTTTGGTGATCTCAGCTGAAGCTTTTCATCGCTTTTGTCTGCAGTGTTTTTCAAAGGGGCTGATGCCCTGTGGATATCTGCTCAGTGATCATATGCTTGCCCTGAGAAAAGACACCAGTTTGCCTGTAAGCCTGTGGGAAACACAGGAACAGTGTCCCACATAGTCTACCTAGCATCCTCCCCGTGCGTTTTGCTTGGTTCTGGAGGTGAATTGCACACTCGGTGCTGGGATTTTGGCACAAGGGACATGGGGAGAGGGCACAGCCCCTCTGCAGAGCTGGGCACGGCTAGTGAGAGGTGTAGAGCAGTTTGGATTTGGGGGGAAGGAGGTGACAGATAGGGTCATTCCTATGTCATTTTGCTGGGACATCTCACCCGGCTTGGCGCGTTGTTTGGAGAGAGCCTGGACACTTGCCGGGCTGAGCTAGGGCAGGTTTAGGAGCCGCAAGAGGAGTTACGTAGTGGTTTATTACTGCTGCAGAAAGTATTATTTTGTGGATGATGGTTTTCTGCATGCCAGAGTGCAGAAGTTCTCCACCAGTGTACTCTGGCACAGAGTGGTGCTCCTCTGAAGGGTCCATAAACCCAAGGTCTTTGCACACTCCTCAGCACCCTCCATCCTCCTTCCCCCATTCCCCCATCCTGGCTGCACCCCATGGTCCCAGGGGTGATGGTAAGCACCTGGCCAAGGCTGCATCCCTTCCCCTTCCTCTGCCCTGTCCTGTACAGGAAGCTTTTGCTACATAGTCCACTTAAAACAGACCTATACAGAGCAAAATCAGCAGCAGCAAAACAGCTCTGTGCGAAAACACCCTGTTTAGCAGCCGGTGAGGCATAGCACTCGCGGTGCACGGGGTGAGGGGATGGGAAAGCGCAGGAGAGGCACAGGAGCAGCTTTGGCAGCAGCCACCCACATTGGCCAAACCTCGGAGGGAGCAGCAGCTAACGCCAAGGGCTGGGATGCAGCAACCTCCCTCTTGCCTTCAACTCAGATGGGTCCCAGAGCATGCGGGCAGTTTCCTGGGTACATCTTGAAAGCCATGTTTAATTTGTGAGAGCCACTAAGTCGCTGCTCGGGTTTGCTGAGCATTGGGGGACAGGCCCCCCAGGACCAAGGGGAGGCAGCAGCAACACCATGGGCACCTGTGAGAGATAACCTCCCTTGTTATTGCCAAACTGGTTGTGGTTCCTTGATGAACTGAGAAGATATCAGGTGTTGATGGGGCGCTAATTAATCAGGATCAATTCACCTGTGATGAGGCTTGCTCTCTTATTTCCTATGCTGCCCTACTCTGCAGGGATCAGCTATCCTGGATAGGCCTGATTTCTGGGGCAAGGGCTGTCTGTGGGTATGTGGTACCTTGTGTGGTGGCTCTATGGCCCTGCTAATGTCCCCTCCTCACTCCTTGCAGGACGTACTTGGAGGAGGAGCTGATAAAGGCCCGGAAGAAGCCGAGCCTGAGGAAGGACATGTACCAGAAGATGATTGAGGTGGACCCCAACGCCCCCACTGAGGAGGAGAACGTGCTGCGGGCAGTAACCAAGCCCCGCTACATGCAGTGGAGGGAGACCATCAGCTCGACTGCCACGCTGGGCTTCAGGATCGAGGGGATAAAGGTGAGGCTGCTCCAGGTGTGCAGAGCAGGGGGAACAGCTGCTGGGAGCATTTGGTAACCAAACTTACTCACAGAGGCACACACACAGCAGGCTGGTGGTGAGACTGCGTCACATCAGGGCATCCCCGATCCCTGCAGCCAAACCACCCTTGTCAGGCACCTGGCCTGGGGCAGCACTGCCCTTCTGAGAGTGCAGCTGAGTTCAGGGCATCAATGCAAGAGGACAGTTTTAGCCATAATCTCATTAAATCAGCTGCTTGGTTGATTTCCCTGACTGCGAAATGCAAAGTGCCATCCTCCAATTTGAAGACTCAGATTAGTTGTTTGCTTTTGATACTGCTGCGCTGCTAGGCTGAGCCATTAATCCAAATCCCAGGTTGAATGTGTGCCGATCTGTGGTTGGAGCTGTGAGTTTAGCTGCAGTCGGTGAGGAGGCTGTATTTACATCCCTGTCTGGAAAAATTCAGCAACTGAGCCTTACGAAATAGGGCGAACACAAGCAGTAGCACTTTCTGCTGGCACCTGCACGCGTGTGCAACCTGCTGACTGCGCTTGCTCAGAGCTAACGCTCGCGTTTCTGCAGATACCTGCTGGGATGCTTTTGTGTCCCTATTAGATGAGCCAGCCTAGGGGTTTTTCTCCTGGCAAGCAGACTTTGCGGTGAGAGAGATGTCCAGGATGGCACTTGAACAGAGTTAGGTCTATAACCACAGAGCAGTTGTAATAGTGACTGACAGAAGACTTGCATGAACATTAGCAATGGCATATGCCTTTTGATAGCCAGCCAACATGAATTAAAGGTAATATCACGCTTGAGCTAAGGGTTTCATCGCGTGCCTGGGCACGGTGTTGGCTTGGCAGCCTAGGGGAGCTCAGTCAAGTCATGCCTGCAATAATTCAGGCTTGGGGCACTGCTGGGGGCCCAGGCAGTAGCTCAGGGCAGCCGCTCGGTCTTAGTGGAAACGATGGTTCTACGCGTATCTTGGTTGGAGGAGTTTCTTTCTCTTGATCACAGATCGTTTTTCTCTTCCCTGAGTCAGGCAGGATTCTCTCGGAATTCCTGTCTGGGTCTCTGTGGCCTTAAACTTCTGCACCTCTCCTGACTGGAGATAGCAGTGTCAAAATGATAGAATTAAAACAAATGAAGCCATTCCCTGAAAAAGCCTTTACACCAGAGTTTGTAGACTTTCCTGGTAGTGTTCCCCTTCAACGTCACCAGTCAAACAGCAAACAAATGCAGGTGTTAGATCACGGGTTTAACAGGTGATCAGCAGGAGTGGGTCACTTGGAGCCACTACTTCTGATTACCCACATACCAAACCACCAGTGGGAAGGGATTTGTCTGTCCCGCTGTGCAGGACAAAGTCCCTGGGCTGTGGGAAGCCCAGCAGAGCATGTTGCATGCAGGGAGGAGGGCACCTTCTTCATTCAACTGTTTCATGGCCAGCAAAGGACAGTGCATTTATCTCTAACTCAGCCACTCTCAGAAACCCAAGGAGCAGCCCTTGGGCTGAACCTCTCCAAGAGTTTTCTGGCAAGCAACACAAGGCACCCCTGCCTGTCCCATGCCCCTGCCTGGGATGCTGGCGGTCATACTCCTCCATGGCAGCTTTCTGCAGTGCCTACATTGGTCAGGGCACTTGCCTGCTCGTGCAGCTCTTCCCTGATCTCCTCCGCTCTCCCGAAGACCCCTTTCTGCCGTGGGCGCCCACAAGCATGCTGTGAGCTGCTCCGGCTCGGCACAACCCTTTGCCTAGTTCCCATTGCTGCTGTTTAGCATTCCCATTGCTGTTGTTTTGCTGATGCTTATTATAAAACTAAGGCTATATAAAAAAGGAGTGGGCCAGTTGGGACCGAAGCTCCCATGCACTGTTTCTTCTCCGTGCTTTCTTGCTATAATCGGGAATATCTGTCTATTTATAGTCCAACATGATATATCCTTGGCCTCCAGCGGTGCTTTGGAGGCTGTGATCTGAGGACATTCAGGGGGCTTCACAGCAAAAGCAGGTCATATGTGAACTGCTTGAAATGAAAAATGTCAAAAAAAAAAAAAGCCCAAATCATATTCCCACGCAGGCCAAAAAACACTGTGGAGGGAAATAAAAGCCATAAAGAAGTGGTGAGCGTTGTACCTCTGTTCTAGCCAAGCATAAGTGAGCTGCTGCATGGCGTGAGCAGTGGATTTTTTTCAAAGAGGTGAGGCAGCCCTTTAATTGAAAAATGTTGAGAAGCACTGGCCTCCAGGAGTAATCCTGCTGCTGCTGGGAGCTGACTAATTTGATCAAGGCTCTAATTACTGTAATTCTCCTTAAATCCCTCAGCTTCTGGATTATTTTGCCCTAAGCTAAAGCATTAACAGTTTATGCTGGTTCCCAGCTAGCTTTTTTTTCCAGCAGGGCTGTAGAGCTGGTCGTGCTGTGCCGTATCTCTGTATTTGCCCTATTTCTGGGGTCGAGTCTCTGCATTAGGGAAAGCACCTTCGGTGCCCTGAGCTGCTACTGAGCCCACAGAGGAAATTTCAGGAAAATATTATTTAATGACAAGTCTCCCCATGTTTTCTTTCCTGCTGTGAATGCTTCCCTGGGAAGAGCAGGGGTGAATCTGCCCTGCCCCTCGCTCATGGCCGGAGGCTGATACAGGAGAGCACCTTGCCATGCAAGGGAAGGGCAGGATTTGGCCCTGGCTGTGTGGGCTGGAGGGGAGCACAGAGTAAGGAGGGGAGCAGCAGTAGCCTTCGGGACAGCATGGGCAGGTGAGGTGAATGGGCAGCTCAGGGTTGGGAATGAGGATGGGGACCCTTTCCTGGCTGAGCTCATGCTTTCCCAGGTGGCCTCAAGGATCTGGTGGTTCTTTAAAATGGAAATTTTCCTCTGCAAAAGGAGATAATGACACTCATCTAACTTTCTGGAGTAGCCTGGAACTCCTTAGAAATGGTAGCTATTAATAAAATTACCCTGCTAAAAGGAATACAAGTGATCCCTAGTGACCCAGTTGAAGCTTACTGGAGCACATTGCAAGAAGTTTTACTCCTGAGCACCGGCTCTGCTCTGAAAGTCATTCACCATTGCCTGCAGCAAGGCCATGGTGGGATGGTATTCCCTGCTGCTGGGATGTTTGCGGGATCCCAGAACCAGCCCTGAAAACTCTCACCTGAGTTTCCTAAGACAGGCGGCTCGCGAGCCGCATCCGAGGCCGGACACAGTGCCGGAGGGGGAACTGGCTGACCCAAAGCCTGCCCCAGTGACGCCAGTGCAAACTGGAATCGCTGGCAGGGTGGAGGTTGCACTAGCCCTTATCAGCCCCCCTCACATTTCGGCTGTGTGGAAGGCAGCCCCCTCGGGGCTCGGACACCTGTAAATGTCGTGGCAGTTGTCAGCCCCACGACAGCAGTGTCTGGCTGGGCAAGGAATTATGGTAATTATGGGAGCAGCGTTCCGAAACCCGGCCTAAAACCCCCCCCCTGGTTTTCCAAAGGAGGGGGGGCGGGGGAGCCGCATCCGAGGCCGGACACAGTGCCGGAGGGGGAACTGGCTGACCCAAAGCCTGCCCCAGTGACGCCAGTGCAAACTGGAATCGCTGGCAGGGTGGAGGTTGCACTAGCCCTTATCAGCCCCCCTCACATTTCGGCTGTGTGGAAGGCAGCCCCCTCGGGGCTCGGACACCTGTAAATGTCGTGGCAGTTGTCAGCCCCACGACAGCAGTGTCTGGCTGGGCAAGGAATTATGGTAATTATGGGAGCAGCGTTACGGATAGGCTGTTTGGCTTTCCTGAAGCCTAGATTGCCTTATCTGAAAGGCCATCTGTGATTTTAATTTATTTTTAGGAGCACTTAGAAGTCCATCTCCTTTCTTGGATGCTTTGTGGAAAGTTGTGCTCTTTACATGCGAAATTAGTGCTGTGGCACTTTTCCAAATTGGTATCTATCATTCCCCGGGGAGAGGGTGGGTTGATTTCTGAACTGCCACGTCAGGGCTCACGTGACGGATGTATAGCGGTGTATAGCGCCCTTCCCTTATACGTTGTGCACGTGCCACGAGAGCATCCTCAGCAAGGCCTCCTGCCTGTGCTGCTGCAGCCTGCTGCCTCGTAAGACACAGCTGAAAGCAGAGAGCCCGACTCTGCTTGGTCCATCAGCGGGATGGCTGCTGCAGCCCGGAGGTCTCCAGCAAGAAGGTTGTCCCCGGCCTTTGCTGGTGCAGGCTCTGCCAGCCATCAGCCTCGCTTTTATACCCTGCGGCAGCACTGGTGCAGGGGTGAGAGGTGGTCAGGTTGGGTCCAGGGTGGTTTGAAGCTGGGTGCATCAGTTGCACGCCATGCAAACAAAGATTTTCCTGGAGGCTAAGACCTTTCACATGTTGCTTTCGTTATCGCCTTTATTAACACTTGCACGAAATCCAAGCTGGAAGTCGGAAGTGCCACCATGCTCGCGGACAGCCCTCTGCCCAGAGGGATGCACATGGCCCCATCCCAGGGCACTTCCCTGGAAGGGTCTGAAAGTCCTGCCAGGGAACATAAATCTCCAGGGCAGGTGATTCATTGTGCTCTCTGCCTTCCCCAGCCTCTGCTCTGCTTCTTCATCCTTACTTCATCTGCCCCAGCCCACAGGATGTCTTTTTGGCCTCTGTCCCTTCACTCTATTGTGTGCAAACGAACTGTCGGGAGCGGTGGGGTGGAGCTCTGCAAGCAGAGCTGTGAGCACGAGCACGTGTGGTTTAAAATAGCCCCTGTATCCAGGAAGCAAGCTCTGCCTGCCCGACCTGCGGCTGCTCCGGGCAGTGAGACATGCTGATTTAAAAATCAGATCCCCAGCAGGACCGGGGAAATGGGGAGCGACCTACAAAGCTGCCTAGAGGTTTGGCCAGGAGCCTCTGGGTCAGGGCGGCATGCCGTCCCTGCAGTGGGCCAGGCTGTCCCGTCCCCGCAGTGGGCCAAGTACGGATGTGCCTCTGGGGAAGAGGCAGAGGAGAGCACAAGGCCGCTCACTGCATCTCGGTGCCAGGCTGCTGCCCTTGAGGGTTTGGTATCCATGGACTATCAAAGGACTAGTGAGGCAAGATAGCTGTGGGGCTTGCTCCTTGCCCTCATCTCCTTGCTGCAGTGGTTCATGGAGGACTTTGCATGGAGGGGTTTTTGTGCCTGCTCCTGACATGTTGTCTCTGTCCACACTCAGCTTCCTCCTGCTGTGGTTGTGCTCTGCTTTCCTCCCTAAGCAGGGGTGCAGCCCGAGGCTGGTGTCAGCGCCTGTGCTCAGCCACAGCAGCGATGGGAAGCCATTTGGGCACAGCGTGGTGAGAAACAGGTGGTCTCCAGCCTCTGTTGGCAGTGAGCGCCAGGTCCATGAGAGGTAGATTGTCCACATTGCCAGTGACCTCGGCAAGCGTGTGATGGTGGAGACTTATCACTTGCATTAGGGGGCGATGCAGCAGAGCTGTGGGGTGATTTGGGATGTGCAAGGCAGAGAGCTGCTGCCTCTGCTCACCCCTTCTCCATAGGCAGGTCCTTCAGCTGCCAAGAAGACTGGTTGCATCCTACTCAGGGACATGTGTGGCTGCTGAAACACCAGTCCTGCCCTGGCTCCCTCCTTCCCCATCCTGCTCACTGGTCTCCCTTCTTTTCAAGAAAGAGGACGGCACTGTGAACCGGGACTTCAAGAAGACGCGGACAAAGGAACAAGTCACGGAGGCCTTCAGGGAGTTCACCAGAGGAAACCGCAACATTTTGGTGAGTGGGGGATGCGGGGGGGGGGCTGCCTGGAGAGGGCTCCTCCTGTGGAGACTGGCCTCGGACCATCAACTCCCTGCCCTGAGGGGCTGCAGCCTGAGCAATCTGTCTTTAAAAAGCGTGAAAAATGGCAAAGAGAAATGCCATCCTGGTGCAGGGGTGAGGGGAGAACAGCAGAGGGCTGGGAGGGGACACATTCGCTGCAGCAGCACTGCTTGAGCTGGGTCTGAGTCTGCTGAGTATGCTCAAGGGTTGGTCCCAAAACCCACTGCAGAGGCACAGCCATGCTCTGCCCCCTCATCCCTGGGGCCGACGGCAGCCTCTGAGCCTGCTCTTTACCCCAGTATGCGATGGTGGGGGCTCCCACCCTGGCAGAGCAGGCTGCCCTGCGCTCAGTCCCGCAGGAAGGGTGGCCAAGGCATCCCCCTGCCTGCGCCAGGCGCCCGGCATTCCCCAAGTTTCTGTGTTGCCAGGAGAATAAGAGATGTAACTGTAAACAGTTTACGCTGACTGTGTCAAATATCCTATTTGACAAAGCGCTCCCATTTTAAGCTGTACTATATAAAGCCTACAAACACAAGGCTCCAGCTGGAGTGGCCCTTGGCACTGCCTCCTTCAAACCGGCATGTTTGCTTTGACAAGAGTTACCCAGGGATTATTCTTGGATCTGAAAATGAAGTTGCCTGGCTGCATTTTATCCCCAAACAGCTTGGAGCGCACTCGTGCCATCGTATCCTGGCTCTGGACAGGGCTCCTTGGCCAAACCATTGCAATACAGTGGCCCCCGCATCTCCCCACACAGTCAGAGTGTGAAAATTTAGGTGTATAATCGTGCCCAGATACCTGCTGTGCATGATCCTGTGCTTAGTCCTTCTATCTAAACTCAAAATCAAATCATCAAAGGGGCCCCCTGAGAACGTTGAGTGCCTTCCAGCAATTTGCAGCGATGCTCGAACAGGTGTGTGTCTTGACCTGCGTGCTGACTGGTGTGAAAGCCCTTCCACCTATGGTACCAACTTTGCAGAAGTGCTGATATGGAGTTAGAGAAGTGTCTCGCGATGCTTGACTGACTGAATGATAAAATGATAGATGAGGTGAAAAGTTGACCTATTAAAAAGAGTGCAGGTGAGAGAAAAAAGCAGCCTGGCTGTGCATGCACAGCAGTGACTGCTGAATTGGCTGTTCCGTCCTCGGAAACACGATGGATGCGGTGGGGAAAGTCTGCAGAAAGCACTGATTCAGCAAAAGAAAATGCTCTCGCTAAGTTTTGGAAGCCACAGGAGCTCACAGGATGCTGTAGAGGCCAAACAGATAAGTGGATCCCAAAAAAGAGGGGACACCCTCTGTGTCTGTGGAAGGATGCTGAGCACAGGGTGGCTGAGGGACCCCCCCCAGCATCTCTCCATGCACACATGGTATCATGGAGAGGATGCTGGGAGGGGTGACTTTCCTGTCTGCCCCATGGAGCAGTTTTCATGTAGGCTTCCCGCAGCGCTGACAGCTTGGTTTTTTTGGTTTTTTTCTGTAATTCCAGAACAGTTACCTTAACCGGTTGAAGGGTATCCGCGCTACCCTGGAGACATCCCCGTTCTTCAAGTGCCATGAGGTAATACTCGTGTTTAGATAGATCTGCCTGGAAATGTAAACGGTTTAATCTCAGCTTGTCCAAGGAGAAAAGAGAAGTCAAAGTCAGAGACTGTAAATTTCTACAGTTTTGAATTTATTCTTTTATCCATATTTCCATACCCCTGTTTATCTAATACTTAAGTGGAAATGCAGCTGATGACTGATACAATGTTAATGTGTCTGACATGGGCTCAAATCTGCTGAAGACCAATGTTCATACAGAATAAAAGTGATCTAGGTGGAATTCGGGCTGTTTAGGGGTTTATATGACTGGGAAAAATACTTAGTGTAACAGTGTAGCAGGTTTTCTGGAGAGAAATGCCTGTCTGAGTGCACGTCAGGTATCATTTGGCTGCCAGTTGCTCCATGTGATCAAACAAGGCTTCAACGTAGCCGTAAATTGCAGATATCCCAAAACTGCCTTTGCTGAGCTGGTTGGGGCACCACGGTAAGGGCTCTTCCCTTGGAAGGACTTCCCTCTAGAAATGAGTGTCCACGAAATCAACATTTTCTACAGTGAAAATTCAGTTCTGGTGGGAAAACAAAGAGGAAGCGCTACATCTTTTGGGCATTTCAACAGGAATTGGAATGCTCCATAATTTAAATCATTTTATTAATTTATCATTGGCAGAGAGTATTTGCTATTGCATCTGTTTAACAAAACACGAGAGCGCACGTCCTTGGCACGTGTTGTCTATGGGCAAAAGAGCCTCATAGGAACCCTCGACTCAGAGGGAGCAGGAGCCGCAGCTCCAAGAGCCCACTGTCCCTCAGCCGGAGCCGTGTGAGCCACCTCGGCCCCGGCCGCACATGGCGGGTCCTGCCGGGAGCCGGAGGCAGATGGGGCCGTGCCTCCTGACGGCAGCGCCTGTAAGGCCAATGGAAAGGAAATATCGAAACTGAGGGTTTCGGGTCAGTTCAACACGGGAAACAAAATGCTCCCTGAAACCAAGTGCCAGGGTTTCGTTTGAAAACACAGAAACAAAACAGCCTTTCAAGGACATTGTGAAAGGAGTTTCCACTCCTTAAAAGTTAAAAGGCCGCAGCTTTGAGTTTCCGTCCCACTTCGAGACGAAGCGTAGCAGAAGGTCAGCCAAGCTCTGTGTGTCCCTCCACGGGGCCCTCGCTGGGCAGGGCTCCTCCGAGGAGCTGCAGGGGGATTCGGTGACCCAGGACAGGTGAGGGAAGAACATTAGCAAAAGGCTTTTCCTTAACTTAAAGTTAAAATGCTCTGTCCTGGCCAAGAGGGGGCTATAAGAGCTTAGAAGGAGAAGAGCTAAAGATAATAATTTCTGGGAAATAATACATATCTCTGGACCTTGGACGTTTTCCCAATGCGCTGGAGGAGGAAGTCTCCTCAAAAATGTAAATTCATAATAGCTTTTGCAAACAGTACATGCTTCCCATTCAAAACCCTTGTCTAAAGGCAGACCTCAAACTAAACGCTGCTGATAGCATGGACGTGGGAGTCCCCAGTAATGTTTAATGCAGTGTTTTGGAGGGCTGACACCAGCTGGATGCCCCTAGAGCTGTACTCCTCCACATATCTGCACAGCTTATGGGGGGCTCCTGGCTCTCAGCACACTGCGTCCTGTCTGCTAACAGCCATTGCACTCTGGTCACCAAGGTCCTTATTTGTGATACAAGGGCAAGAGAGTTCGTAATCCACCAATTCACGTACATTGGACATAATTTGGAAAGCAGTCTTCATTTGGGACAGCTCTGAAGCATGTCTGTTGGTGCTTTCCTGTAGTACCACCTGCTAAAATCTTCTGACTGGAGGAGCAGATTCAGCAGAAGAGCACGATGGTGAATGGCCTGACACCAATACATGTTCCCCAAGCATTGGGAAGTCACAGCAGAGCTGCTGCTGGGCAGCAGCCTGGCTGGGACTGCAAGCCGGGATGGGCCAGGGGGCTGAGCTGGAGGTGCCCACCTGCTGAGCATCTCTCTGCTCCGTGGGTGGTGAGCACTGGGCTCGTGGGGTCTCGTCCCGCTGCGACAGGCCTTGAGACTTCTGCTGTCAGAGGCGATATGCTTCACCTCCCCAAAGGCACCTGTGGGCTTGCCCAGGCCAATACTTGCTGCAGGGTTTTCCCAAAGGCCGATCAGGGTATGAAAGCGCCCTGCAAAGCAGATGCAGCCAAATGAACTGATGGAAAAGGAAATTTGTATACGTGTACATCTGTAACTTGCATCCCCAGCGTGCTGTGAAAGCCAGCAGGATGTTCTAGGGGGAATCTGGGTGCAATTGGATGGCGTTTCAGGCAGGAGACAGCACATTGCAAGTAACTTGTACTTGGAGCATATCCGTCCCTGCAGTGATGTCTGCAGGGCTGGTGAGTGTGAATGGCATGAGCCGGTCACAAAGAACCAGCCTTGGAAAAAAATCCCCATCTGAAGGCTGAGACAATTCACCTCGTTCCTTCCCTGGGGACCTTGACTCAGTTTCTAAAATGACATCTCTGTCTTTCATGCCCATGTTTTTCTGATCCTCTCCTTCTGCCAAGAGCTGGGATTTGTGTGAGTCAATCAGCTTGTCTGAATACTCGATTTGCATGTGCAAACACAGCCGGCAACACATAGAGCTTGCTTTTGCTCATGCAAAATCTCAGAGTCATCTCTTGCAAATGCAGCCTGAGATAAGGTGTCTGAAAGCCCCAAAGCTGGCTGAGAATGAGCAATAGGAGCACCACTAACCGGTCTCTCCTCTCCACAGGTGATCGGGAGCTCCCTCCTCTTCATTCATGACAAGAAGGAACAGGCCAAAGTCTGGATGATTGACTTTGGGAAAACCACCCCGCTGCCGGAGGGACAAGTTCTCCAGCACAATGTGCCCTGGGTGGAAGGGAACAGAGAGGACGGCTACCTCTGGGGGCTGGACAACCTCATTCAGATCCTGACGGAGTTGTCCCAGAGCGAAGACTTGCATTAAAGCCGCGTGTCCGACTCTGCCACTACCCCCAACCTGTCCCCGACTGACTCTTCTGAACTGCACTACAAGACACTTTCCAGCCCTCGCCCTTCCTTCCCATTTGAAAGCTATACTCTCCCTATTTAATGTGTTTTTGTTGTGGTTTTTTTAGGTTGTCTTGTTTTGGGGTTTTTTTTTCCTCTCCATGTAAATAGAGAGCTAACCTGCCAGAACAAAAGCTGAACTTGAAACCTTGGCTTTGCAGAGTCAGTGGGAGCAGCCCGGAGGGGTTGCTTAGGCAAGCGTGTGCTTTGCCTATCGCGCTTTTGTCTCTCGCGTGGCCTGATTTTTAAGAGGGCCTTTACAAGGGCTGGCGGAGGAAGGAGCCTCTCCCTGCACTGGGATTGGTACCTTCATCCCAAAAACACTCGGTGGCCAAGCCCAGGACCCTCTGGCAGCCAGGGTGTGTGAGCAAGGCCTGGTGACAGCGAAGAATACTGGGGTGGGAGCCCTTTAGTTGTCTTTGCCAGCACCTTTCAGCCTAGGGACCTGGCTGTGCCGAGTCCTTAAAAGATGCTAGAAGGGCAGATTTGGGTTTTTCTTTGTGTTCAAGACATCCCGTACAGGTTGCTTAGTTATTTTCAGGTGGCACTGGAGGGTGAGGGTTTCCCCCCTGCTGCAGGGCCACATGGTCGGGCACAGGTATTTACCATGGCCAGGTGCTCCATGCTGGGTGCACTGGCATGGTGGTTAACACTTTGAGCTCCCCTCTAGAGACCCGGCTCCCCTGCTAGGAGCTGCTTCCAGCCCTCCTTAGCTGGGGTCACCAGCCCTCCATGGGGAATAAAGACTTTGGGCAGGGCTGGGGGAGAGAAAAATAGCTTATAAGGGACTACTATGAGACCTAAAGTAGCCATCCAGGTTGATCAGTCTTTTTTGGCAGCAGCCGAGCACTATGTAGGGGTAGTGCTGCCGATGCCTGCACCTGGCCCAGGGCAACCCACCTGCCAGGAGCATCTCTGTAATTTTTATCAGTGGCGGACGAAGGGTTACAGCAGCAAAGCAGCTCTCGAGGTGGCCAGGTTAGTCATCTTTGGCAAAGCACAGTTGGGGTCAGGCATCCCCCTGCCTTCCCTTTTTTTCTGCAGAGTGGCTGGCTCTGCCGCTGCTCTTTGGCGCTGGCTTCCCAGCCTGCTTGGGCTGTGCATATGGCCTCTGCGCTCCCGCTCCTGCGAAAACACCCAGTTCCCTGTTTAGGGCGGAGGCTATTTTTTAACTTCCTGGAACATTTGAATTAAGCGGCTTGCTCGCGGCAGAGCTGGCTCGCTAAAGGTCAGCGATCGAGAGGACGGCAGGGAGGGAGGCGGCAGGGCAAGCTGGGGAGACTCTTGCACTGAGGACAGATGGAGGGTGCAGTGCTGGAGGTGGTGCAGGAGCTCGACAGCCACAAATCCCTCACCTGCTCCATCCCCAGCCCCACCGTTTCATCTCGCTCCCCAGGAGCGGTGCTCCAGAGCCCCTCTGCCATCGTTCGGTGGGTCCAGCATCCTCGGTGGGGGAGGTCTTCTCCTGGCAGCAATAAGGAGGAGGAGTTGGCCACTGAGCCATCTGCAGCCATGCTCCAGCCTCTTTTCTGAGGACTGAAGTCTCCTAAGATTTTTCTCAGTTCATATCTCACCAGACAGATGTCTTTAGCTCATCTGATGCCATTGTAAATGGTTGCACTGTTTTAGCTCTGCCAGGCTTTCTAGAATAGCCCATGTGGAAGTGCCTTATAGACTTGCCTCTGTTCCATTAGTGTCATGGAAAATGTTGGGTTTTTTTAAGTTATATTTATTTTCATCCCATTTTAATTGCACAAAACACTAAAACTTACTGCATGGAATCCCTCTTTTTTTTTTTTTTTTTTTTTAACTGTGTTTTTAGGTTTTAAACCATCCCTTTTCCAGCTTTGGAGAAAGGGTGTGAACAGATATGCATAGGTATGTACCAGTTATTGCTGTACTTTAGCTTCAAGCTGCTCTTATATATGTATATTATTTTTTAAGCCTGTTTATAAACCAGATTCCTCGCTTCATGGCTTCAGAAGAAGCAGATTGTTCCTCTCAGATGTCTTACGCCTTTCTGGAGGCTGGAATGGTTGCTGTGAGGGATTTTCCCCACTCCCACCTCCCCTCTCGGTCATTGGTAATGCAGAGAAAAATCCGAACCGGTCTGAAACACCAACGCACAGTGCCTGTAAAAAAAATCCTGTAACTTTGCAAATAAAGGCATATGGGAAGCATTTTCCTGGTGTATGGTCCATTTCTGACCCATGCAGTTTGCGGCAGCCTGGGAACAACCCAGGAGCTGGCTTTTGTGTCCGGGATGATTTTGGGGGGATCAGGTTCCAGCTTTGGTTCCCCCAGCACACACCGGGAGCAGTGCTGCGTAAAACCAGGAGTAAGGAAGGACCTTGTGCCAGGGACAGATCCTGGCTTTGCAAAGAACAGGACAGCGTGAGAGCGGAGCCGGGGCTGTGGGGGGCTCTGGGCTGGGTGGGGGACACCCCTGGGAGAGACCTGAGTTTCTCCATCCCCCTTCTGCAGGGAAGCCCACCAAAGGCAGCTCCACGCCAGGAATTTTTTTGGTCTTCATGTTTTTCGCTAGCACTACATTGCGGCTCCTGCTGAGCGGTTTCCGAGTGCCACCCTGCAATTTCGGCGCTCAAGGATACCAAAGCACCCAGGGGTGTCAGAGCTGCCTGGCACAGCCACGCGCTTCCCCTGCTCCTCGCCCTCTCGGCCGCACCACGGCAGCACCGGAGGGAGCGCTTGGGATCAAAGGCCACGAAAACAAACCTGGATTGGTTTTGCACTGAAGGAGAAAGGTTGTAGAGTTTGAAGGCAGCTCCAATCCCTCCTGGTTTTCCATGCAAGCACAGGACAGCAGGAGCCTGTCCGGGGACAGATGTCGCCGAGGGAGGCAGGTGGGCTGCCCCGTAAGGAAAGTCAGATTTAACACCCCGTGCCCAGACCCCCCAGAGCAGCCCGGCCTCGGGAGCAGTCCCTGCAGCGTCTCTGCTGCTCGCCACGGCACCTCTAAAACAAACTGCAAGAGAAACCCAGTGTTGACTTTGCTTAAAGACTAGCAACCTTTTGTTACGAGAAAGAACTGGTAGTATTACCAGTATGAATATTAATTATTTTTATTATTTTATTATTATTTATTATGAATAAATGAGGAGTTAGAGACATGTGTGCACCTGCAGGGCTATGATCTTACTGGCATCACGGAGAGGTGGTGGGATGGCTCCTCTGACTGGAGTGTTGGAATGGAAGGGTACAGGCTCTTTAGGAAGGGCGGGCAGGGGAGACGAGGAGGGGGGTTGCCCTCCATTTCAGCAACCAGCTGGAGTGCATGGAGCTCCGCCTGGGCATGGATGAGGAGCTGACCGAGAGCTTATGGGTCAGGATTAAAGGGAGGGCAGGGACAGGTGACATTATGGTGGGGGTCTGCTACAGGCCACCCGACCAGGAAGACCGAGCAGATGAGGCCCTCTATAGACAGATAGGAGCGGCCTCACATTCACAAGCCCTGGTCCTCATGGGGGACTTCAACCACTCCGATATCTGTTGGAGGGACAACACAGCAGGGCATACGCAATCCAGGAGGTTCCTGGAATGCGTTGATGACAACTTCCTTCTCCAAGTGATACAGGAGCCAACAAGGAGAGGTGCTGTGCTGGACCTTGTTCTCACCAACAAGGAGGGGCTGGTGGGGAATGTGGGGCTCAAGGGCAGCCTTGGCTGCAGTGACCACGAAATGGTGGAGTTCAAGATGCTTAGGGCACCGAGGAGGTTGCACAGCAAGCTCACTGCCCTGGACTTCAGGAGAGCAGACTTTGGCCTCTTCAGGGATCTGCTTGGTAGAGTACCATGGGATAAAGCCCTGGAGGGAAGAGAGGCCCGAGAAAGCTGGGTAATATTCAAGGCTCACCTCCTCCAAGCTCAGGAGCGATGCATCCCAACAAAGAGGAAGTCAGGCAAAAACACCAGGAGGTCTGCGTGGATGAACAAGGAGCTGCTGGACAAACTCAAACACAAAAAGGAAGCCTACAGAGGGTGAAAGCAAGGACAGGTGGCCTGGGGAGAATACAGAGAAATTGTCTGAGCAGCCAG